ATCACATCACCCCCCAGCTTATATTGATTACGAGGATTACCCCAGCCCTGGTGCAGGACCTTGAACTTGGCCTTGTTGAATCTCATGAGATTCATGGGCCCACCTCTCCAGCCTGTCCAGGTCCCTCTGGATGGCATCCCATCCCTCAGGCATGTCAACTGCACCACTCAGCTTAGTGTCATCTGCAAACTCGCTGAGGGTGCACTCGATCCCACTGTCTATATCATTGATGAAGATATTAAATAGCACTGGTCCCAGCATGGACACTACTCGTCACCTGTCTCCATCTGGACATTGAGCCATTGACCACTACCTTCTAGATGCGACCACCCAGCCAATTCCTTATCCACTGAACAGTACACCCATCAAATCCATATCTCTCCAACTTAAGAGAGAAGGATGTTGTGGGGGACCATGTCAAAGGCCTTGCAGAACTCCAGACAGATAATATCCATAGCTCTTCCCTTGTCCACTGATGTAGTCACTCCATCATAGAAAGCCACTAGATTGGTCAGGCAGGACTTGCCCTTGGTGAAGCCATGCTGGCTGTCTCAAATCACCTCTCTGTCCTCCACGTGCCTTAGCATAGCTTCTAGGAGGATCTGTTCCATGATCTTCGCAGGCACAGAGGTGAGGCTGACAGGTTGGTGGTTCCCAGGGTCCTCCTTTCTGCCCTTTTTAAAAATGGGTGTAATGTTTCCTTTCTTCCCATCACCTGGGACTTCACCTGACTGCCGTGACTTTTTAAATATCATGGAGAGTGGCTTGGCAACTGCATCAGCCAATTCTCTCAGGACTCTGGGATGCATCTTATCAGGTCCCATAGACTTATGTAAGTTCAGGTTCCTTAGGTGGTCACGAACCTTGTCTTCACTCACAGTGGGAAGGACTCTGTCGCCCTAGTCCCAACTCTGGAGGTGCGAGGAGAAAGGTTGCTAGTAAAGATCAAAGCAAAAAAAGTTGTTGAGAACCTCAGCCTTCTCCTTGTCTGTTGTTAGCATCTTGACAGACTTTCTCATCGGGGAGGTACACACTCTTTGACCCTCCTTTTCTGATTGACATACCTGTAAAAGCCCTTCTTGTTATTCTTCACATCTCTAGCCAAGTTCAGCTCCAGTCGCTCCTTGGCCTTTCTGACTGCATCCCTTACACGACCAGGCAGTGTCCCTATACACTTCCCACAATACCTGTCCTTGCTTAAACTGCTTAATTTACTGCTTTTGGGTATTAATTCAGACTTTTTTAGGAAGGGTCACTTGTCTTAGCGTGTTGGTACCTTAGGGTCAAATCCTAAGATAGAAGCAAACTGTCATGTTAGGATGTTCAAAAGCATTTTTTCCTGTCAGTTGAATCTTGTTTATATTTCAAAACTATCTTCCAGGTTCAGGGCATTTACGCTATGTATTACTCTTTCAAGGTACTATCGTGAGGTCCTTCCTGGAGAGATTGTGAAAATATCCAGATATGATGTCCAAACACTGGATGTTGTACCAAGACCTGAAGGAGATCCATCAGCATTCTGCATCTTTGAATATGTTTATTTTGCAAGACCAGACAGTATTTTTGAAGGTAAGAAGATGTAATGTACAAAGCTCCTCCCTAAATAATGGGAGATGTTACCCTGGAGAACAATGACTCTGGAAAGGATCTGGGATCATAGTAGGGTACCACTGAATGTGAGCTTGCAGAGCAGAGCTGGGACAGAATGGGTTGGCACAGTTCTCAAGGAGATAAAACTCATTAGGAAGAGCATGTAACATCACCTTCCTGTTCCTGGCTGTGCATACAGCCTCAGTCAGGCTGCCTGCGTAGTCCTATGAAAGGGATGAAAAGAGCCACAAACATGATTAAGGGAGAGGAAATATCCCTTAAAAGTAAGAGACTTAAGAAAGGAACTTTATTGGTTCTTGGAAAACTTTTTAAAAATTAGACTTATGAAACAGGATCTGCAAAACAGCTTTATCTTGGCATTTTCTTTGCAAGAAAGGCTTATTTCAGGAAGATGCTTGTAGTATAACTTGTAAATCTATGCATTAGCTAAGTACTTGGGGTTGTCAGTCTAATGCTTTTATTATTATTTCAGTAGAAGCCCCCCAAAATTGTCTCAGTGACAAGATAATAGCAAGGACTTTCATATCTAACAAACAAGCTCTGTGTTTTCTACGGCCATGCCATCTGTTGATCCTGTACAGTTCCCCACCTTTATAAAGCCAGTGTTACCCCACATCTCTTCTTTTCGTGATCCTCTTACCCTTCAGTATCCTGACTTCTTACATTCCTTAGTACTGCTGCTGCACCCTTTGCTGTGCTTCATCTCATCACAACACCTCCAGTTCCCTCCCATGTTGCAGATTTGTAGGACCTTTAAAAGCTTCTGAAGCCTCTTATCCCCTTACTAGACTTGCGGTGAATTTTGCCAACTGACTCAAAGTTAATAAGCAGGCAGAGGCAGACAACAGGATTGCACAAACTTTGCTGGAGAAACAGCCTAAAAATAGAATATCCACGTTATGAACAGGCAGGCATAATTTCTACTTCTTTCCTCCTGTAAATAGGCTTTGTAACATCCACAGGAGCTTTAGTTACCCAATTAGGGCAAACTGGATTTTAATTCTCTGTGTAGTGATATGAACGTGAATATAAGAATATGACAATATGGAAGGAAATTAAAAATTACCTTATGTGAGTGACTGCTAATTAGTTCTGGAGCTTTTCTCACTGACTTTGAAGCCTGCAACTCGCCACAGAAATTTGTACAGCAAACTGAGAGGAAATCTGAATTCTGCATACCAGGAAAAATACGTGTTGCTGTTCTTAGGTCAGATGGTGTATTCCGTCAGGAGAAGATGCGGGCAGCAGCTTGCCATTGAAGCACCCGTGGAAGCAGACCTGGTCAGCACTGTTCCAGAGTCTGCAACCCCAGCAGCTCTTGGTTATGCTCAAAAGGTATATGGTAACTTGCCTTTTTTTTTCCTCAAGCATATTTACACAGACCTCTTTTTGTAATGGGTTACTATGGTACAGGCCATTAGAGTTTTGTATTGATAAAGCTTTTTACCTTCAGTACACCGAGCACTCCTATTGAATCATCTGCACTTGTTTTTTCTGTCGTTATTCCACTATATTAAGGCATTTCAAAGTTCTCTGGTTACTGCAAAGTCATACTAAGTCCTAAGGTTGCTTTAAAAAACAGTAAGTGAGAATAACCAGCTTTATAGATATTGATTCTGTTTAACTGTCTCCTGTTTACAGTGTGGTCTACCATATGTTGAAGTACTCTGTAAAAACCGATATGTAGGAAGAACATTTATCCAGCCAAATATGAGGTTACGGCAGCTTGGTGTTGCAAAGAAGTTTGGCGTTCTGTCTGATAATTTTAAAGGCAAGCGAGTTGTTATCATCGATGATTCAATCGTGAGGGGCAATACCATTTCACCCATAATAAAACTACTGAGAGAATCAGGTGCCAAAGAGGTAAGTTAATTTTCAGTCAGTACAATACAGATGTAAATAGAAGATTGATGGGAGGGTAAAGCACAGGGATTTCCGTTCATTTGTACTACGCATTGTTTCCTTATTTAAGAAAGCAAATGCGCAAAAGAACAATGGCTAGTGCCTGTTTACTGTGAAGATAGGTTGAGAAGTTTCTGTTGTATGACTGTGGTTTTTGGGACGTTAAGAGGGGAGGAACAGGTCTCCATTTATAAAGCAGTATCTGGCAAATAAAGAGAGAACGGAAAACAGATTAGGTAAGATCAGAAAAGCAAGTATTGGTGTGGTATTCCTGACATACGTGTGACTTGTGGTACTGTATTAAGTACAACATACACTGCAGTAAACAGGCATGTGCCTTAAGTCAACAGAGCACAAAATTTTTAATGAATTAAGATTTTTTAATTGAAACAGAATGCAAGTCTGTCACTGGACAGAAAATACTCTGTATATTATTTGACTTTGTAAACTGAAATGCACATCAAGAATTGAACACCATAGAAGAAAAGCAAAATCAGGATGGAACCTTTTAATCATATTAGGAAATACTGTAAAAATAAATTCTAAAACTGTCTTTCTCTCTCCTGCTGTGTTGTATCTGAAAAAAACCCCTTTTATCTTACTTTTAAACCTTCCATGATTTCTGTGTAGTGCTGTGTTCTGTTCTTCATGATTATTGTGCAGAACTGGGACTTGGCAATTGTGTTATGATTTGTTGACCTTTACGTTATAGCAGTCCATTTTGAAATGTTATTTTTATTCAGGTGCACATCCGTGTGGCTTCACCTCCCATAAGATTTCCTTGTTACATGGGAATAAACATTCCAACTAAAGAAGAACTCATTGCTAACAGACCTGAATTTCATGATCTTGCAAACTATATAGGTAAATGCTACTTTTTCTCCCTTTTTATATTTTTTTTTTGAGAGATTTTACCTGTAGGTGTTTTATTGTTTACATTAAAATAAAGGCCAACACATCAAGGCAGCAGTGGCAAAACTGACTACAAAATCATAAGGTGGATACACTAAGTCCTCTTCATTGTGAGTACGCTACAGGTCAAACAACTTAGCTACACATGTTTTTAAACAGTTAGTGATTTATATTTCTCCAAACAACAGAAAACACTAGAATAATTGCATAATCATAAGTTACAAATAAGGTGTGACAACACAGCTCAGAGCTCCTCCTGGGAAAGTATTTACAAGGAGCTACTGTAGGCAAAATACCAGGAAGAAAATACATGGTGAAAATCTGTCCTGTCATGAAAAGCTAATGTAGTTTCACTTTGATGAGAAATTCATAAAAATATGTTCAGAATTTGTAACACCACTGATTTTTCTACAAATTTAAATTTATGTAAATAATTTTAACTGCATTATGTATTTCACTTTGAAAGAAATGTCATCTGAAACTAATCAAAGAATGTTAAATACATTCTCAAATCTCTAAAATGAGTCATGTTTGCAGCAGAACAAAAGAAGAACCGCCAGCTTATGCTGCTTGTGATGGGGTAAATAACACACTCTTCATCAGAATATCAGCAACAGAAGTCATATGAAGGCTTGTGAGCAAGGAGATCTACTATATATGGCCTATTGTGCTGCAAAATATTTTAAAAAATGGTTTCAGAACATAGCTGTCATTAGTTAGGAAACTGTAAACTCAGATTTCCTGCGTTGAATACTAATTCCCACTGTCTAATATTGCAATGGATTCTTTTCCCCAAAATTATTATGAAGGCATTTTGAAACATTTCAAGTTTGTAGGTTCTCATTTGTAAGCATTAGTCACAAAATAATGAGTGCAAACAATAGAAAACTGATGTGAAAAGGCTCTCAAACTTTCCTACTGCTGGAACATTTGCACGAATTGCATGCTGACTTTTTTTTACCATGATGGTCTTCCCCTCACCCAAGCCCCAGTAAGGGTTTGTAGCCCTAGATGTGCTCAGTTTGGGAAGCACCAGCCATGTACCCATCTGCTTCCAGACCTGAACTACAGGGTAACTGGGAAACTACAGGGAGTTTAAGGAGCCTTAACACACACTCTGGATTTTGTTTCTATTTTTGTGACACATTTGTTGCCAACTCAGAACCTTCTGTGTAGATTTCAGTGAGTCTGTTCCCTCCACAAAGAACTTGAGAAGGGCAAGGCTTATTATGGTCTGATAATTTTTCATATCCATTCTGTTCAAGTAAGGTGATCCACCTGGCAGCATAATCCACACAGTAACACGACTGCATTTCCAAAGAGCATGGCATTCGGTACAGTATCACAGCCTGAACTAGCGCATTCTTTATTTCCTCTAGGAGCAGACAGCGTTGTCTACCTTTCTGTGGAGGGGCTGGTATCATCCGTGCAAGAAAGCATCAAAGCGAGACAAGTGAATGAAAACAGCCTTAAAAGCCAGAAGTCGCGTCTGGGGAAGATTGGTCATTGCACAGCCTGTCTCACCGGAGAGTACCCCGTGGAGCTCGAATGGTGAATTTTTAGTGGGTGGACATCAGTTCATCCCTTGTTGAATGTACCTTTTTCAAAGGTGCCTTCTTGCTAATAGTCTTCTTGCATTTAGGTAGTAAGGAGAGCTTATTACAGCTAACTAATTTCTGGTACTAAAACACATCTTTACAGTAAAGACTTAACAGAAAGTCTGATGTGCTGATGAAAACAATATAAGCAGATTAAAATACAAAATCAGTTGTGCCTTCTATTTTCTCATAAAATATTATAAAACCCAAAGTTTTTTTAATTATGTAACAGTCCCAGAGTTTTTTGTTTTGGTCTTGCCCTGAAAGGTATCCATTAGACTTGTTCACAAATCATGAATCATGTGGTTTAATTTTAGATTATCAAAGTCTTGAAGTTTGCTTTTCTTCCTAGGAAAAATACCAGATTCTGAAGAATTAAATTGCTTCCTCAGCAGTTCTTGCTTAGGCTTTTTAAGAATGGAAGTACCTAACTTTGGCATATATAGCTAAACAGCCTTGATTAATCAAGACGTTTGTTACAGATTCTATGAACACGATGTCTAGCATATGATTTTAAAATATGAAGACTCAGGGAAATGCTCAGCCAAAAGCTCTCTAGTTTAATAACTTTAAAATTCTTTTTGGAAGTCCAGTGTAATTACATTAGCTTCGTGTGCTTTTATTAGTTGCCAGTAGGATGTGGAAGGAGGAAAATACTTGGCACTGCCATTTTTTTTTTCTGTTTTACGTCTTGTTTTCTCCAGGATAAGTCCTGACAATTTCTGAGCTAATGCTCAGTGTGCTTTTCATATGTCAACATCTAAAGTAAACTGAAAAATAAAGTCACTTTTCATTTTTATCCGTAAAAAAGATATATCAACTGAAGATTATGAGTTGTTTTGGGTATAGTCTTATTTTTACTATATTACTGCTGTGACAATAAATGTAATGGGTTTTTTTTTGAAAAAAAAAAAAGTGCTGAAGAACCATTAGCTATTGAATGCACTGTGGTTTTTAATTGGTCACAATTACACGATTACACAGTTACACAAGTTATGCAGATCACTTGGACAATGAATCAGTAGCTGAAAATGGAAAAGCACCTTTTGAAAACTCTTGCAAATTTACGCACAATTGCAAAAGTATTTTGTATACCTCATTTTTTTTTCACCGAATACCAGCAACTTAATTTTAGATTTTCTATTTAATATTGTGTACTTTGGCCTTGTAATTGTTTGTGACACTGTTAAAAAAAAAAACAGAAAAGTTTAAGAGCTTCTTCCTTCCCCATCATCTTGCACAGTAGAGAATTACACCGCTGGTGATTAAATTCAAAAAGGAGCTTTCTTACGTGGGATTCGCAGCAATTGTGCCTGACAGACAATCACAAAAGTCCCAATTCAAGAAAGCACGTAAACGTGTTTAATGAAGTCAAGACTGTGCCTCGTGCAGTGGAACCTGAACCTAAATTTCAGTCAAGCCTATGGGAGAATCCAGATTTTCACAAGCATTGGGCTCTTACCGTGTGTTCTTCCCCAAAGCCCAGACCTGCATATTGGGGGATGTACATGGATCTCTTCTGTCTAATTGCCAAGTTTGTTTGTTTGTTTAACAGAACCGTAACAGTTTGCCTGGACAGTAAACTGAGCAAAAAAAAGAACAGAGTGGAGTCTCTCTGACTGTCCTCTCTTCCAGATTAACCAGGGAGGAGTGTGAGAAAAAGAGAAAAATTGTCATTAACCTTTTTCACCTTACTTCTTTCCTGCCCTCAAAAAAACAATTGTTAAAAGAAGGGGTAGGTTGAGCTCTTAGGATATATGTGTGAGGAGCCCTTTCCACTTGAGATTAAAACTTAGGAGCGCAGTTTAACAAGGTTGCAGGTGGAAATCTACAGATTGATCCGAAATTCTCGATAGACCAGACTGTAAATGAAACTTGTGCAAATACTCTTTTAACATGTTTTCAACAAAACTATTTTTGAAGTCTGGTAATAATTGTTTAAATGTGATTTGAGCGTTAGGTGGCGTAATTCTGATTTCAATAAAATGAGTCCTAATGCTTTTTTCTCTTCCGTTATGCACGTGAAATTACAAGGTCTACTACTGTAAGCACTGTGATTTTTAGATACACTACATGCCTAATCTCCTTAAGTTAAAGGGGAGATACTCTTCAAGTGTCATTTTCTTCTGTGACGGCTGGATTTGTGCTTCTGGTTACCAGCCTTTTTTCATCACGTCCAGCGGACACACAGATGCAATGAGTATATTGAGGGAGAAAATTCCTCTGGTTATAGGTGTTGCTATTTGTACTGTTTTAGTTTTACTGTGAAACTGTTTCTGCTGTATTACCAATGTCCAACTGTGCCAAACTGTCATTTACAAAATGTGACAGAACAGTAAAAAGCTAATGTCTAACTTCTCCCGTGCGGAATATTAAAAATGGTTATGAACTGGGCTTCTCGTTCTCCGTCTCTTCACTGCGCTGGCCGGCAGCACGCCTCAAAGGTTTAACAGTGTCACCCTGAAAGCGCCTCGAAGCTGGAGCAAAACGGTTTCGTGTCTGACGGTACACCTCCCTCCCCCGCACGCAGCCCGTGCCGCACTCCCGGTGCCCCGTCCAGCGCCGCCTCCCGCCCCGCTGGCCCTCTAACCCCAACCCCGGGGGAAGCACGGCCCGGCCGCCCCCCCTCGCCCCGGCACC